TCTATCACCAAGGCCATATTTTCCAGTTACTGGTGATTCCTCCTTGTTTCCAATTTGTGCATTCCAGTCACCAGTGATAATCAACACATCCTGATTTCATGTTCAGTCAATTTCAGACTGCAGAAGTTGATAAAAATCCTCAAATTCCTCCCCTTTGGCTTTGGTGGTTGGTGTGTAAATTTGAATAATAGTCATAGTAACTGGTCTTCCCGCCTCTATATCTGTCATCAGTATCTATATGTATTCATCCAGCCATCCACCCACATCCTTCTGTTTTTTTTTCCATCAAAACCATTTTATATTTAGTGGAATCTCACTAAGAAAGCCACAGAATAGAATTGCATAGAAATGCCTTGTTTTAGCCCTCTTGTCAGAAGTTTGAGTTAAGGATAACGTAAGATGACGGACAGAAGATGCTTCGGTGGGCCAACACTGACTACAAACTTAGAGAGGATCAAAGCATAAGTTCATATAAATTCACCAGAGTCATGCAAGATTCTCACAGGGGAAACTGGGGCTGGAAATGGGGAGACACTCTACACTGTTATACAATTTCTCTATAAATCTAAAATTACTCCAAACTGCAAAAATTAATTCTAAAAAGCATATTTATTGTCTTCAAACAGAAAAAATAAAAAAACTAGTTTATCTAGTGCTCTGGGGTTCCTTTTCTCACATGCAAACTGTGTACATATACATGATGTTGGTAGTGGTGTGTGTATCACTCTCTATTTCCGAAAAACCAAACCTATGGCCATCAATCAGATTCCGACTCACAGCGCCCCTAGAGGACAGAGTGGAACTGCCCACAGGGTCTCCAAGGCTGTCAATCTTCACAGAAGCAAAGCCCAAACCACACCCACTGCCGTGGAGTCCATTCTGACCCACAGCGCCGCTAGGGGACAGAGTGGAATTGCCCCACAGGGTTTCCCAGGCTGCCATCTTTATGGAAGCTGACTGCCTCATCTCTCTCCCATGAAGCAGCTAGTGGATTCAAACTGCCAGCCTTCTAGCTAGCAGGCAAGTGCTTAACCCCTGCACCACCAAGGCTCCTCCTCTCTTTATCTACCTGGAATATATGAGAAGTGCTGACACCCTACTAACTCACTCCATTCCTAAGAAGCACAGAACTTCCTAGCTCTTCCACTGGACCTGTTCCCTGGCTTTGCGCCTGGGACCCCACTATTTCCTGTCCTGGAACATGGCCCTGCCTCCACCCTCCCCTGTCGGCACTTGGCTAACGGCTCTGTAGCCTCTGGGCCCCCATCCAGATGCCGTTTCCACAGGGACGTCTCCCCTGGGGCTCCCTCTGGGGTCCTGGCGCAGCCTGCTCTCCTCCACTCTGGCTTTCACCATCCTGGACGGCAGGACCCTTTCACCGCCCGCATCCTCCTCGCTGCCCTGCAGTGTGCAGGAGGGCCGGGGCCTGCGGTGCTGTGTCTCCAGCAGCCAGCATGGGGCTTTGTCCGCGCCGGGTGCTTCATAAGTCTTGCTGGCTATGTGTCAGTGTCTCTGTGTCCGTGTGTTTCTGTGTGTCTCTGTGTATCTCTGACTGTGTGTCTCTGTGTGAGTGTGTGTGTCTATGTGGATCACTGTGTGTGTCTGTGACTGTGGGACTGTGTGCATTTTATGCATCACTGTGTCTGTGTGTGTTTCTGCGTGTGTGTGAGGGGAGATCTGTATTAAGTTCACTGTGCTAGGAGCAATGAGGAAATGAGGGATGTGGACATACAGACAACTGCCCACTCATACCAGCAGTAGTGGACCGTGAACAAACAAGCAGAAAGCAGGGAGTATGGGAGATGCGTCATTACGCACCGCAGGTCGTGTGTTTTGTTTTCCAGAGGAGGAAGAGAAGGCTCAGGAGGAAGAAGAGACGGAGAAGAGCCAGGAATGGTGGTGAGCGCCATAATGTGGTGGCTGCCTTACGTTACCAGTTAAGCTTGACCTCATTGGTAATGGGGAGCCATTGAAGGTCCCCGAGTAGAGGTGTTCACACTCACTGTGGTTCTCAGCCAGGTGACAGTGGCGGTAGAGGACAGAGAAATGGAGAGGACAGGCCCCTGAGGCCGAAAGGCCAGATGGACTAACGTAAACCTGAGACGATGCGGTGGTGCAGACTGGAAGGGACAGAGGCTCCCTGATGGAGAAGAATGGGCCGATGGCACTTGGGGATACTTCCACACTGTGACGTGGCAGCATCTGGGACTAGTCATGGTGTGACACAAAGAACTTGGCCGAGCCTTTGTCTTCAGTTCCTCAGAGATGTTGTTGCCATGAAGCTGGTTGACTCATGGAGACCCCGGTGAGCAGAGCAGAACTGTCCACAGTGTTTTCCAGGCTGTGACCTTTGGACGGCAGATCCCAGTCCTGTCTTCCGAGGTGCCTCTGGGGTGCGGTTCAAACCACCAACCTTCTGGCCAGTAGCCGGCTGCTCAACTGTGTGCCCCGCTCAGGGATGCCTTGACTTTGCATGAAATTAGATGGTGCCCAGTTATCAAAAAGGTAGTGTCTGGGGTCTTAAAATCTTGTCCTAAAACAAGCAGTCATGGAAAGGAGCCGCCAGGCAGTCCGTGCAGAAGAAAGCACACCAACCTAAGTGTGATCAAAGGATTTCAAGTAAAATCCATGATCAGAGGAGAGAATGTGTGAGAGCCTAGATTCTGCAGCGCTTGGTTCGTGGATGGCTGTGGCCTGCAGCGGGAGCCCTGACTCTAGTAGGAATCTTGACATAAGTTCAGATGCCAGCTGAGTTCTTGAGGATCATTAAACCAACATTGTGGCTATAAAGAGACAAGTCCGGGACAGACCTAGGAGGGGCGGTTTGCCCTCAGAAGATTGTGGTTGAAACCAGTCTCTGTTCACACACAGAATCAGGGAACTTGCCTGGGTGTGTCCTTCATGATTGATTGAAAATAGCTGATGTTACCTGATTTAAGTTAAAGGTTGGGGTCCCAGTATGACCATGTAGCCACACTGTGGCCATGACTTAGGTCATGAGTCATACCCTGACCACCACGTAGCTAGGTGGTCAAGCCCCAGAAGCAATCCTGTGAGCCTTTCCTATCTTCAGGTTTATACATATCCCAATCATGGTCCTACCCCTGCTTTGGTGGTCCTGCCTGTGACAGTGATGAATAGATCGACCACCAGTCATGACTTCATGATGATTCCCTTTGTTCTCAATCATATAATTAGCCCCATGGCCATGACTCAGTGGACTCCATTCAGCTTTCTGTACTGTACATGCTAGTGGTTTCATCTTTGTCCTGTCCAAGGCTTCATGAAAAGGTCTCTATTGAGAAACGAAGGGGCTCTGGTAGCATAGTGCCTAAGGTATGTGACTGCTAACCAGAAGTCTGGCAGTTCAAACCCACCAGCCACTCCTCGGAAGGAAGATGGGGCAATCTACTTCCGTAGTGATACCGCCTCGGAAACCCAAAGAGGGGTCGCTATGAGTTGGGTCCGACTCAATGGCAAAACAACAACAAGAACAAACTGAGAAATGAACACATCAACAAAAACCCTGTAGAGAATGGTCCTCCCCTGACACACACAGGGTCGCCGTGAGTCAGAACCCACTTGATGGCCACTGGTGTTAGTGAAAGAGCGGACGTGCTGGAGGTCTTACCTAAGCAGGAAAGATGGATAACAGACAACAGAAGAAAGAGTTTTTCACCTTAAAGAAGTAAACGTGTCATTGATTTGCCACAGCGAACATAGGGTCCACTTTTCCAAAAAACTGGAGAATTAAGAAAACTAAAAGGAGTTTTATTAAGTCTCCTTATGTCACTGACTTTATAGCTGCATCTGCCAAGTAACAATAAATGCTTGTTCCATTTCCACTCAGATAATCCTCCTGGTAGGGAGTTTCCAGGAGTTTATTAATATTTATTGAACTAATAACTAGATTGTAAAAAAAGAAAAATGAGGTCAGATACCTTGGTAGGGTCACAGGATAAGGTACTAAACTAAAATTCCTTCAGGCAATAGTCACTTGGATGAGCAAGAAATCAAAGGATTTTACAGATAATAAAATGATCATCCACAGGTCCTGGTCGTTTATCTTTGTTTTCCACACTAAACCTTGATAATAAAAAGTTTAATAACAGTAAAAAAAAACTTCTACACATAGGTAGCAAGATTTTTTTTCTCTTAAAAGGACACAGTCTTCATTATATGAGGAGACCTGATAGAACAATGATTATGAGCTCGGCTGCTAACTGAAAGGTGGGCAGTTCAAATCCACCAGCTGCTCCTCAGGGGAACAATGGGGCAGTCTGCTTCCGTAGAGATGATAGCTTTGGAAACCCTGTGGGGCACTTCTACCCTGTCCTCTAGGGTGCTGTGTGTTGGAGTCCACTCAACAGCAGTGGGATTTTGATTTGGTATGGTTGCATGGTGCCTGAGGCACTTGACTGTTAACCAAGGCTGGAGGTTCAAATCCACCAGCTACTCCTAGGAAGGAAGGTTAGGCAATCTACTTCCATAGTGATACTGCCTTGGCAACCCAAGGAGGGGTCACTATGAGATGGGGCCAAATTGACGGGACATAACAACAACCACATGGCACACAAAACACTCTCAATGAAGACATTTAAGACCATTACTCATTCTTTTATGGTGCTTCCAGGAGTAGTAAGTGATTTGCTCACAACCTAAGTGATTTGCTTCCGTAAAGACTGACAGCCTTGGAAACCCTGTGGTGCAGTTCCACTCTGTCCTCTAGGGGCGCTGTGAGTCAGAATCGACTCCATGGCAGTGGGTGTGGTTTGGGCTTTGCTTCTGTGAAGATTGACAGCCTTGGAAACCCTGTGGTGAATTTCCACTCTACACATGGGGTCATTGTGAGTCAGAATCCACTTAATAGCATCTAACAGCAACAATAACAACTTGATTATATTAGCTTCCTTTCAGAAATGGACCAACTGACCTCTGCTGAAGCTTGTGGCATTTCTATCAAAATTATGTTTGTCCAGGAAATGAAAAATATAACATACCTAGGAAAATCCCAAGAGAATACACTGTGCTTCCAATATCTTCTGTCTGCTCATGATAAAGTGGGAAGCAGACTCCATTTTTCCCGTAGAAATTCCCGAAATAATCTTCACTCCAAAATGGGACTACAGCAATTAGAAGTCCTGCGATCCAGATGCCAACGAGATTGATGGCTGTCTGTCGTTTTCCCGGGCGGATGTTGCTGAAGGGGAAAACGATTACCAGGAACTTCTCCAAAGTCAAGTACGTGAGCAGCAGGACGGAGACCTCGGTGGAGAGCATGGCCAGGAAGCCCAGGATACGGCACTGCAGGCTCTCCATCCACAGCAAGGCGTACTTCTGGTACTGCCCTCGGTACTTGATGTCGAAAAAGCCCACAAAGAACAAATACACTCCCATGAGGCAGTCAGCACCTGTGGAAAAAGGGGAACAGAGTGTGTTGGTGCCATGGATTGAATTGTGCCCCCTCTAAAATGTGTGTTGGGATTCCTGAGCCCTGTGGTTGTAATCCCATTTGGGAGTGGCTGTTCTTTGTTGTGTTCCTGAGACAGTATTAGTGCAGGTGTGTCTTCAATCAAAATCTCTTCTGAGATAAAAACAGAGCAGATGAGGCACAGAAAAGCAGGCAGAGATGGGGGAAGAGAGAAGTCACATGAAGGACACTCAGGAGCAGAAGTTCCAAAGAGACGGACTTTCATCCAGAGCCAACAGAAAGCCTTCTGAACCCAGAGCTGGCTCCCTGAATTCAGACTTCTAGCCTCCTAAACTGTGAGAAAGCACACATTTATGTTCATTAAAGCCACCCACTGACAGTATTTCTGTTACAGCAGTACTAGATAACCAAGACAGATGGCAATTTGCAGCACCACCATCAAGTCAGCAGCATTTGACTTTTCTGATTAGGTCTTAAGTAAACCAGAAGCCACTGGACTTCAAAATCTGTACTATTTACTTGTCTCTTCCTGTTCTGGAATTCTGATCACATGTAAGTTACTCCTCTTGATGGTGTCCCACATAAATCTTAGGCTTTCTTTCTTCTTCTTCTTCTTCTTTTTTTTTTTTTTGATAATTTTTCTGATTGTTCCCTTAACAAAGTAATATTGAGAGATTTGTCTTCAATCTCACTAATTCTGTCTTTCATTGATTTGAGTCTACTCCTTTGCCTGTTCAATGTGTTATCTAGTTCTGAAACCTTAGTGGTAATCTTCTGAATTACTATTTGTTGTTTTTGTATGGTTTCTAGTTTCTCATTTACTTTGTCAGTCTGTTATTGTATTGCTTTTGTAAATTCTATAGTTTTGTCAGTGTTTTCCTTAATTTTGTCAGTGTTTTTCTTGCTCTGTCTCTCAAGCTATTGAAAGTACCTAAACATAATTATTTTGAATTCCTTCTCAGGTGATTCCAATGCCACTTCTTCCTCAGGGAGGTTTTCTGGCTCTGTATTCTGGTCCCTGGTTTGTAATATTTATCTTGTTTCTTTGTGTGAACTGGGATTGTCAGTTGCCTCAGAGTCATCATGATGCTGTTGTATGTTTACTTAACTGGTGCCTGTATGTTCACATGATTCACCCATATATTTTTTCTCTTTTTGCTTTATTTTATTTTGATATAGGCAAGCAAGTGGGGCTGGTGTGCTACTCTGTTCACTAGTTTGGCACCACTTAGACATTCACCACCTGTCTCCTGGTGGGTGTGACAGAGAATGAGAATATGTGCACAGATCTCAGGTAGATAGATGTTCATGTACAGCAGCTGAGGGCATGTTGGGCTGGTATTGGTCACTGTCTATCATTGATTAGTTGGTGCAGAAGCAGGTGGTGGTCCTTGGCCAGTGGGTAGGGCTAAAAATCTGTACTATTTCTGAAGTACCTACTACATTTTTGTTTTATAGCCTTAAAAAAAATGGGGTGGGGTGATTTTTTTTTTTTTTTTTTTTTTTTTGAGGGCCCAGGTTTGAAGTTCATGTCCACACAGAGATACCTTGGAAGAAAGGCCTGGCAATCTACCTTCTGAAAAGTCAGTCTTTGAAAACACTAGATAGCACCTTCCTACTCTGACACACACGGGGTCACCATGAGTTGCAATCAACTCAATGGCAACTGGTTTTAGTTTTTAAACACTAAACATGTGTTGCTTGCTAAGTTAATAAATGGAGTCATTTTCTGGGCTGAGGAGCATGGATTTTATTACAATTGAACAAAGCTTAGCTTTACCACCCACAGAAGTCCTGCATCTTCCATGCCTTGACTCTGCTCCATGACCCCATTTCTAAGACAAGTTACCCCAATGAAAGGACATTGCAATCCAAAACTGAGCAGCCAAAAAAGACCAGCAGGTTCATATTTAGAAAAAGAAAATTACCCGTCATAATCTAATTTCTATTAAATGTCATTGTTGAAGGTGCATACGGATCTTGCACACAGCAGACAGAAGGCATCTTACATCTACTCCGACAGAAAACATACTTACAGCAAAGGACTTTGATGGACATAGTGTGAGTCATATTTTCAGCCTTAATGAATGATCGCATGCCAATGACAAACAGGTTTCCAAAGCAGGTAATGAAAGCCATAATCCAGACAAATACTCTGAGGATGTCATTAGCCAAGAGGTCCTCGTATGAAGAAATGCCATCAGTCAAGGGCATACATATTCGAACATGTGGAGCATAGGAGCAGTATTGAAAGTTTTTGAAATAACTAAAGTCAAAGGGGAAAAAAAGGAGTCACCATAAAGTAATGACACAGACACTACAATTGCAATTTTAGCAGGGCCACAACTCTACCCTGGATATGCAACATCACAGCTCTACACTGGGTATGCAACTTTGCAGCTCTACAATGGTTTACACTGGGTATGCAGCTTCACACCTCTGCATTCGTCTACTGTTGGGTATGTAACTCCACACCTCTGCATTGGTCTGTGTCGGATATGCACCTCTACTGTTGAGTATGCAACTACACTAGCTCTGTTCATTTATTTTTGTTTAGTTGTGACTATACAATTACACTTCACTAAGTGTCATGTGATTCTAGCCATTGTCCCTCTTCTTCTAAAAACCAACAGTACAAAAGACACAGAAGTTCAGGGGCTTGCCTGAGGTGAGTCACGGGAGGCTGTGAGAATTTGGAGTCTACATTTTTTTCCAGTCACACTGCATTAGTCTTGAGGGTATTAGGAGAAGTTGACGACCACTGTTAAATTAATTTCTAGCAGCTCGCAGGGGCCTGGTTTTGGGATGTGAAGAGCTTTCTGTAGCTTCCTAAAAACATGTGTGTCTTGTACTTGGTTTTAAAAGCTGATGCAAACTCACTTTTAATAGCTCCCATTCCCTTATGCTAGCAGGAAGGGTGGGTCTCTGAGACTAGAACATTCTAGCTCACTGGGGCTGAGAGGAGAAGCAGTCAACTTAAATGCAGATTGTTTTAAACTAGGACCTCAATGACTTACTCTCTTGAGAAAATCAATTCTGTTGTTGGTCAACATCTTTTTTTTTTTTATCTGTTTGTGTGGAGTCTTGAGGAGCATGAGCTGGTGAGGCCGTATTCACCGTTATCGTCCCCCAAACCTGTGTGCTGGGATTTTTCTCACAGAGAACTCATCTAATTTTTATTCCTCCATTACCTTTTTTTAGTTCATTTCTCTGCTCTTTTCTCTCAGGCGAATTCTTTTTCTGTTTTTGTTTTTGGTCATCTCCCAATTCAGTTTCTAGATGAGAGAGTTAAGCAGAATTGCTTAGCTTGGTCATGGCCATCGAGGCTTGGTGTGACTGGACCCCTGCATGTCCCAGCCTCCCTTTCTCAGTGTGGCTCAGCCCACTGCAGCCACGCGGGCCTTCTCGTCAACCCCAACACTCCTGCTCACTGCCTTCCCAGAGGCAAGCTTGCCGTTCTCTCCACTGGAAGGAGGACGTCCTTGGTGGTGCAAACAGTTCACGTGCTCAGCTGTTAACCAAAAGGTTGATGGTTCGAGTCCACTCAGAGGCAACTCAGAAGAAAAGTCTGGCAGTCCACTTCTAAAAAATCAGCCAATGAAAACCCTATGGAGCACAGCTCTGATCTGACAGACATGGGGACCCCATGAATTGGAATCCACTTCATGGCTATGGGTTTATTGCCTGGAAGACTCTTCCCCCAGGTGTTGGCAGGGCTCCTTCATGTTCCTGCTTTTGATCTAAATCTAGCCCTATATCTTACTTCACTTTCTTCAGCTCAAATCAAACCAAACTCATTGTCATCAAGTTGATTCCAATCCATAGTGACCCTACAGGACAGAGATGAATTTCCCCAAAGGGTTTCCAAGACTGTAAATCTTTGCAGGAGTGGCTTGGTATATCTTTCTCCTGCAGAGTGGCTGGCGGGTTTGAACTACCAACCTTTCGGTTTGCAGCTGACTGCTTAACCATTGTGCCACCAGGGCTCCTTTCTTTCTTCATTGTTGTTGTCAGGTGCCGTTGAGTTGGGCCTGACTCATAGCGACCCTGTGTACAACAGAACTAAACAGTGTCCAGTCCTGAAGCACCATCCTTACAACCATTGCTATGTTTGGTCCTGTTGTTGCAGCCATCTTGTCAATCCATCTCCTTGTGGGTCTTCCTCTTTTTTGCCAACCCTCTATGTTACCAAGCATTCCATGTCCTTTTCCAAAGACTGCTGCCTCCTGACAACATGTGCAAAGTGCGGGAGACACTGTCTATCCACCCTCACTTCTGAGGAGCATTCCAGCTGCACTTCTTCTAGGACAGATCTGTTTGTTCTTCTGCCAGGCCGTGGTGTTTTCAGTATTCTTCGCCAACACCATAATTCAAATGCATCAATTCTTCTTCAATCTTCCTCATTCACTGTCCATGAATCTAGTCATGAAAATACCATGACTCGATTCAGGCACACCTTAGTCCTCAAAGTGACATCTTTGCTTTTCAACAATTTAACGAGGTCTTTTGTGCTATATCTGCCCAATGCAATACTTTCTTCATAATATTTCTTCATAAATAATCTATTAATTACCTATTTGCTTATTCTTTGTCTTCCAAAGCTGAATGCACGCCCCTTGAGGGCAGATATTCCTTTCTCTTGTTTAGCTCTGTGTTCTCCGCACCCAGAATAGCACATCATATGTTGTGAAGTATTATTCAGCAGGTAATTTTTAGACCAGCAAAAGAATGATGGATAATTTAGTGCTGAGTGTGTCATGCAGCGAAACATGGCACAAGCCCTGCCCTCAAACAGCTTACAGTCTAGTGTCCTGATCCTATGTACCTTGTTAAAGGAACTTGAAGTATAATGCTGTGGCCTTCTTCTTCCCTGGGGTCCCTGGCACACACTCTTTGTTCTTTTAGGATCCTACTATGTCCAGTGTCTTCAGACAGAGCCAGCAAGGGGCTCTCCTCCTCCCCTTCCACTGTGACTGGGATTCTGCTTGGACATGGAAGGAATGGTGTGGGGAGGTGGGAGGGACTGTGCAACTGGTTCAGTAAGTGGTGGACAGGAAGACAGGCGGAAATTAATTAGGTTGCTTAGCAGAGGAATAACTAAGCTACCATATTCTCTGCTAATTGTTGAGTCCTTCTTGATCTTGACCTGAGGTCCATATTTAAAGTAGCAGCTTCTCCCTGAAGTTCTAACTTGGTTGCATCTCTCTATTCTAAGAAGACCTCACATACTGCCCACAACAAGGAAACATTAAATTATCTACTTTTGACACAGTAAGGGAAACTACAAAAACCACGTGGCTATGTGTCAAACGCCTGTCCTTTAGTGATCACACTGACGGCACAGACATAAACCAGATGGCCTCCCAAGAGAGTCTTCCCACTGACCACTGCATCCATTTGTTGCGCCCAACTTGGAATCGTACGGTGAAGCTTCCCTATTGCTGTGAATAACAATGGTTAATTTTTGAAATCATGAAATTACAGATTATACAGTTGCTAAGAAAGGCTCGCGGACGTCATCAGTGCATAAATTAACACAACCTACGCAGTGCACTTTAGCCAAATACAGCAATGCGACTTATCAAAAACTGTGATAAAGTTTAATTACCTCCATTCTGCAGTGCACCTAGTAACAGTAACGACACCTGGCATTTACATAGCACCTTTCTTCCTAAGGGCTCAAACCTTAGAGCAGCCGACTGGTGCAGTAAGGTTTCCAAGGCGCTTGGTACCATTTTGCCAGGGTCTTCATCTTGTGTAATATGTGGCATTCTGGTACCCTGATTCTGATTGGACCTCAACTGCACAAACAGCGTGTTTCCAGAGAGAAGTATCATTCATGTTGCCACAGCATTATATTGAACTCTATTTGAACAGGGACCAAAGGTGACAAAATTAAAAAGTTCTCAATAAAAAAGACTTTTCTTGCATACAAACACATTGCAACGGTACATTAGACAGTTTATGTTACTTTACCAGGCACTCTTCTCCATTCCTTCACACATACTTACATGTGAGAAAGATTCTTCATGGACTGAAACATGTGTGTGTTTATATTTGGAATCGCTATCCTTTCCAGGTCTCTGGAAAATACGCATAAACGCGCTCAATGTTTTAGTGCCCTGATTCAGTGTCTTAGAATCATGTTCTGTTCTGATCAAGGACTCAATGGATGGATCATGATCAAAAGGAGGAAAACTGTGGAACAGAACTTCAAACTTACATGGAGATTAGATTTACTAGATCCATTGAGACTAGGGACGGGGGATCCCCAAATCTAATGCTTGGAAATAATCTTTAAAACTTGAACCAAAGTTATCCCATGAAGCCATCTTTACACTAAACAACAGGCTATCCCAGTTAATAAAGTAATAATGTTTTCCTGAAGCATAGCGCTGGTATAAAGAATTATCTGTATGAGTGCAAACTGACAACAGTTAACCTAAAGCTCAGATGGTAGGTTTAAGGAGCAGGGAGCCTAAGGTAATGGTTATGAAACACCATGGGTGGACACAGAATGGTGACACACCAGGAAGAATGTCACCACCCCCAATGAATGGTGCATGGAGAAGCTGTGAGTGGACACATTTGGGTATGTATGTTGCCTCTAGTAAGAAATGCAATCTTTTAAAATATCACAATCTTTGTCAATTCCTGAATAGAATGCTTTAAAATCTTAGGTTGGCCCTTGGAATTAGGATGACGAGTTTACAGCCTTATCGTACAACTGTCTTTGCGGCTTGCACCTCCAGCGAGTTAGACTGGGTTTTGTCACTTCACAGACAGAATTACTTTCTCATAGAGCACCTTCATTCATTCGTTTGATTTAAAGCAGCAGTAGCTCTGCATGGTTATGAACTGGCTCTGTACTTGGATTTTATAAACCGGGCCAAGGAGCTGATGCTTCTGACCTTGGGACATCCCTGTAGTGTGCTTGGTGGGACTCTAGGATTTGTACACAGGCACTTCTGATGGGGCTCTGCGTCTCTTAAGGCTCTGGTGGCATAGTGGGTAAGGCATCCGGCTGCTGACCAGAACGTCAGTGGTTCAAATCCACCAGCCATTTGTGGAAGAAACATGTGGCGATCTACTTCTGTGAAGATTTACAGCTTTGGAAACCCAGTGGGGATCTCCATGAGTTGGATCGACTCAATGGCAGTGAGTTCACTTTTTTGGTTTTTCTGTGTCTTGTAGATGGAAGACAATGGATGCCAACAGTCAAAACACAGCCAGAGATGCAAAAACCCATTGCCGCTGAGCCGATTCTGACTCATAATGACCCTGTAGGAAGAGCAGAACTCCTCGTAGGGTTTCCAAGGCTGCAATCTGCACCGAAGCAGACAGCCACACCTTTCTCCCACAGAGAAACTGCTGGGGTCCAACCACCAACCATTCATTTAGCAGCTGAGGGCTGACCCACAGCACCATCTGGGCTCTTTGGGGGCAGTAAGAGGGGATCCAGATAAGGACAAAGGTATCCTAAAAGAACACTGAGAAGGACACTTCCTTTAAAATTCCTCCAGGCTCCATATGTCTTCAGAAGGCGCCAGTGATAACTCCAATCATCCTTATCTAAGGAACTGTGGCAGGGCAATGACAAAGTACTTGGCTGCAAATGGGAAGGTGGCTGTTTGAACCCACCCAGTGGCCCATTGGGAGAAAGTCCTGGCAATCTGCTTCCATAAGGGTTTTTAAAAAAGAACAACAACAAATAACCACACAACAAATAACCCTCTGCCGTGGAGTGGATTCTGACTCACAGCGCCCCTCGAGGACAGAGTGGAACTGCCCCACAGGGTTTCCAAGGCTGTCAGTCTTCACAGAAGCAAAGCCCAAACCACACCCACTGCCGTGGAGTCGATTCTGACCCACAGCGCCCCTAGAGGACAGAGTGGAACTGCCCCACAGGGTTTCCAAGGCTGTCAGTCTTCACAGAAGCTGATTACCTCATCTTTCTCCCATGAAATGACTGGCAGATTAGCAGCCAAATGCCTTAACAATTGTGACACCAGAGATCCTTTCCAAAGGGCAGAGGTCATCATTTTCTGATTGTCCAATATCATGTCAGGTGCTGTCATCAATGAAATGACTCAGTAAAAGAGACATGAGACAATAACGAGGAAAGAGGTGAGGTGCATGGAGGGGGTACGCTGTCACTACCTGGAGCCCATAAAGGCACTATAGGGTGATGTGGCATGGTGGCTCTCAGAAATGCAGCATGTGATGAATAAAGGGAACTGTCACTTTGCCCACATCCTGAGGTCCGTTCTCATATTTAAAAACTAAAAAACTCACTGCTGTCGAGTCGGCTCTGACTCACAGCGACCCCTCCTTGTGTTTCTGGGGTGGTATCACTACGGAAGTAGATTGCCCAACCTTCTTTCTGAGGAGTGGCTGGTGGGTTTGAACTGTCAGCCTTCTGGTTAGCAGTCAGATGCCTTAGGCACTGCGCCACCAGAGCTCCCCTTATATTTAAAGACAACTTAAAAAAAAAAAAAAAAAACCTCACTGCCATCAAGTCTATTCTGACTCCCAGCAACCTCCACTGGGTTTCCGAGGCAGTAAATCTTTACAGAAGTAGAGTGCCCAGTCTTCCTTCCATGGAGCGGCTGGTGGGTTTGAACAGCCAACCTTCTGGTTAGCAGTCAAATACTTAAGCCAATGGGTTATTGAAATGTTTTTTTTGTTCCAGGCTGAGCATCCTTAAAGTAAGTCGTCCCTTTGAGGACTAAAGTACACTTGACCCACGCCATGGTAATTTCAATTGCTTCATATGCACGTGACAGCTGAACAATGAATAAGGAACACTGAAGAAGAATTAATGTCTTTGAATTATGGTATTGGTGAAGAATATTGAATATACCATGGGTCCCCAGAAGAACGAACACATCTGTCTTGGAAGAAGTACAGCCAAGATGCTCCCTAGAAGTGAGGATGGTGACACTTCACTCAGTGGTGACTGACATGTTCTCAGGAGGGGCCAGTCCTGGAGAAGGACATCCTGCTTGATAAATTACAGGGTCAGCGAAAAAGAGGAAGACCTTCCAGGAGGTGGACGCACACTGGCTGTAACTACGGGATCAAACTTAGCGCTGACTGTGAGGATGCCACAGGACTGGGCATGGTTTTGTTCTACTGCACACAGGGTCACTGCGAATTACAACCATCTTGATGGCACCTCACAACAACAACAGGCTGGGCTTCGTGAGAACAGGAAACAAGTCTCTGTCATCAGGGTTAGCTCCCTAGTCTCTGGTGAAAGAGGACCAAAATCTTGCATTAATTTCCAATGGAATATTGTTGTTGTTGTTGTTATGTGCCGTCGAGTCAGCCCCGACTCACAGCGACCCCTTCTTGGGTTTCCGAGGCAGTATCACTATGAAAGTAGGAATGCCCAACCTTCCTTCCGAGGAGTGTCTGGTGGGTTTGAACCGCCAGCCTTCTGGTTAGCAGTCAAGTGCCTTAGGCACTACGCCACCAGAGCTCCCAATGGAATACTATTTAGTAAGAATAAAAAGAGATAGTAAAGATTGATCTTTGGAATTTAATGAAGAAATGCTTTAGGTTGCCATCAGGTAAGGCTGTATCCTCTTTACCTCAAAACATGCAGACATTAACCAGCAATGGCCATTCAGGGGAAACAGATGATGAAGTTCAAGGACTAAAGAGTGGAGTTCTTGACACCATTTGAAACCTAATAGGATTGAAAACTTAAAACACTAAACAGAATTATTTCTGAGTGTTCATGTTTTGGGGATAAATTTTTCCTTACACTGATTGAAAGGCAGAAAGTATGCACTCTACACTGATGTCAAGTAGATTAGTGAAGTAACAAGCAAAGGCAAGAGACAGGCAAGCCTTAGGTAATCTGTTTACACCAACCTTCTAGTACCAAGTCCTGCAAATTTAGTTTGTGAAAACTGCAGGGCGAGATTTTTCCACATTAACCTAGTTCTCAGGAAGGTACCCTGTGTAGATTCAGACGTAGAAACGGCCTTTAAACGTGCTCAACAGTGAAAATTGGAGGCTCTGTGACCATTCTATACCTGCCTCATGGTGACATGGCGTCATGATCATGTGAGGACGAATGCTCAAATGAAAAGCCTTCACGCATGAAGTTTAAAAACAGCTGTGTCTCTTAGTAAAGCTCACCCACTAAAGTCATAACTAACAGGCTGCAGCACTTCACTTACAGAGACTGAAGGTGTTGAAGGCTTTCAAACTGGTTCTTGTGCACATGCGAGAGAGGATTGGACGAGAGATTCCTTTGGCACCATCAGAAGGAAAGAGACACAAAAGCACCGGGCAGTTAATATTTTGGACCCTCCAGATGTTGCCATTTAAATCTGATTACGGTGTCGTGAAGGACTTACAGTTTTTGTAGAAGCTCCAGGTCGTTAAAAACATGGGGCGGTAGCTCCGTTATCAGATTGTTTGACAGGTTCCTGTGGGCGACAGTGAAACCCCAAAGCAATTAAATTGGAAACAAGTGATGGAGTTAGTACTCCTGACAATTATCATCATCCCGTTTGATGTAACAGAAAGTACGAATTTAACTAATCTGGTAACTCATTACACAACAAGGCTGAGTGAGTCAGCCACACGGATGGATTTTCCATCCCTTTCAGACTTGTGAAATGCATGTGACATATGCCTACATATGGGAGCTCTGGTGGCGTAGTGCCTTCGGCATATGACTGGCATAAGACTGGCAGTTCAAACCCACCAGCCACTCCTCGGAAGGAAGGTTGGGCAATCTACTTCCATAGAGATGATGCCTCAGAAACCCAAGAAGGGGTTGCTATGAGTCAGATCTGACTCGATGGCGGTGAGTATTGAGCTTTATATGCCTACAAGGAAGGCCACTTAATATGACCAAGCACTCATGCTAAAGATGAAGAAACTGAAGATTATTTTACCACCTTCTGCAATTGACCAAGCATGCAACCAAGACGTGTTGATAATTACTGGTGACTGGAAAGTGAAAGTTGGAAACGAAGAAGAAGGATCAGTAGCTGACAAATACAGCCTGGGTGACAGAAAGGCTGCTGGAGATGGACGCAGAACTTTGCAAGACAAACAACTTACTCATTGCAAATAACTTTCTTCACCAACGTTAATGGCAACCATACACATGGACCTTGCCAGATGGAACACACGAGTCAAATCGACTACATGCATGGAAAGAGATAATTTTGTTGTTGTTGTTATGTGCCATCAAGTCGGACCTGACTCATAGCAACCCCTCCTTGGGTTTCCGAGTCGGTATCACTATGGAAGTAGATTGCCCCATATTCCTTCCAAGGAGTGGCTGATGGGTTTGAACCACCAGCATTCTGGTTAGCAGTCAAGTGCCTTAGCCACTATGCTACCAGAGCTCCTGGAAAGAGATAACAGAGAAGCTTAATATCATCAGTCAGAAGAAGGCCAAGGAGCAGTTGTGGAACAGACCATCAACTGCTCAGATGCAAGTTCAAGCTGAAGCTGAAGGAAATGAAAACAAGTCCACAAGAGCCAAAGTATTTCCTTGGATTCAGAAGAGGACGTGGAACAAGGGAAATCATTGCTGATGTCAGATGGATGTTGGCTGAAAGCAGAGAATATCACAAAGATGTTTACCTATGTTTTATAGACTATGCAAAAGCATTCAACTAGGGGGATCATGACAAGTTATGGATAACATAGAGAAGAATGAGAATTCCAAAACCCTTAATAGCACTCATGTGGAAACCTGTACATAGATGAAGAGGCAGTCATTCAAACAGAACAAGGGGATACTATGTGGTTTAAAATCAGGAAAGTGTGTGTCAGGGTTGTGTTCTTTCACCATTCTTATTCAATCTGTATGCCGAGCAAATAATCCAAGAAGCTGGACTATATGAAGAAGAACACGGCATCAGGGCTGGAGGAAGACTCATTAACAACCTGCGATATGCACACGACACAACCTTCCTTGCTAAAGAGGATCTGAAGCACTTACTGATGAAGATCGAAAACAGTATAGATTACGCCTCAACATAAACAAAACAGAAATACTCAACTGGTACAGTAAGCAACTTCATGATAAATGGGGAAAATATTGACGTTGTCAAGGATCACATTTTATTTGGATCCACAATTAACGCCCGTGGAAACAGCAGTCAAGAAATCAAACGACATATTGCATTGGGCAAGTCATCTGCAGAAGACCTCTTATAAGTGTTGAAAAGCAAGGATGTCACCTTGAGGACTAAGGGGTGCCTGACACAAGCCATGGTACTGTCATTTGCCTCATGTGCATGTGAGAGCTGGACAATGAATAAGGAAGACTGAAGAAGAGGTGATGCCTTTAAATTATGCTGTTGGTGAAGAATCTTAAATACACCATGGACTGCCGGAAGAATGAACATTTGTTTTAGAATAAGTACAGCCAGAAAGTTCCTTAGAAGGAAGGGTGGTGAGACTTTGCGTCTCATGTTTGGACATGTCGTCAGGAAGGACCGTTCCCCGGAGAGGGACATCATGCCTGGTAAAGTAGAAGGTCAGCACAAAAATGAAGAAGACATTCAACAAGATGACTGACACAGTGGCTGCGACGACGGGCTCAGGCATGCGCTGAGTGGGCGGGTGGCACGGGACCAGGCAGTGTTGCACCCTTGTGTACACAGGGTCACTGTGAGTCAGAACTGCCTCAAGAGAACTTAAACAGACATGTGACATTTTTGCTCATCCAGTTCTCATCTGGAATTTCCTCTCATCTCCTCTCCAGCACTTTCCCAACTTGGTGTTAATACCCATTTGGATCACTTTTGTCCATTTTAGGCGAACTCTTTTTACAACTCTGTCATGCACCGTTTCTGTGACTCCCACTGGGTTCTTGTATGTGATGTCTTGTCTACCCAATGACACCACATGCTTTTGGAGGTCAAGACCTGGGTCTTCTCCTTATTTTCCATTCCAACTGAGAGCGTATTGGCTACATAGTAACTGCCTAGGAAATCTCAGACGGGACAGTTCATGCATCTTAAGTACATTCTC